CCGCGCCCCCTCCCCGCCGCCTCCCCAACGCAGTGTGGCGTGGTGTGCTGTGTGTTGGGGGCGTCTGCGGACGCTGCCGGGGCACAGGCGGTGCTTTGGCTTTTGCTTTAGGGCTGTATATTTTGGGGGAAAGTAAGGCTATTTATTTGGATTTTTTTTTTTTTTTTTTTTTTTGGTCTTTGCTCTTTTGAGAAGGAAAATATTAGACCTACTCTTCATTGCTCTTGGAAGAGGGGGCATTGCTCTGATAATAAATACACTGACTATAGGGTCCAGTCGGAGAAATTAGAGTTAAATCAGTAACTTCTTCGGAAGTGAGAGTGAACTAAAGAGGTCAAAGTTTCCTTTAGGAAAGGGGACAGCTTCCCTCCCCCACACACAATCCCCTCAACACACAGAAGCACCCACAGGCCAGCGACATCAAGAAAAGACAGATTTCACCCTTTCCACAAAGGTTATTTGAGCACCTGCCAAACCGCTGGGCAGGAGAGAAATTTTTTTGCCACTTTCACACTGTGTGACCTTGGGCAAGTTACTTAACCTCTCTGAGTTAAGTTGAGGATAATTCCCGACCCTCCCAACAGAGGGTGAAGAATGGGGATCAGAACTAAAGGTGCTGTGAATCCTCAGGAGGTGTTTATAAGCCATTTTGATTATTCCCTGATGGATTAAAAAATGTGGGCAGAGGGATGGTCAGCCGGGCTGCTGGTAAGGAATGACCAGGGAAAACTTTGGAGGACTGTGGCTAACTGCTGACAAGCCGACCCTGGAAGCAAGAGTATAGGCTGAGGATGGGGCTTTTGGTATTCTTAGCATTTAGCTGTGAAGCTCCCCATGTGGAGGGAGGGTCCAGGCTGCTGGGAACCTGAGTCTACCTTTCTGGCTCCCAGGGGGAGGTGGGATGAATCTGGAAGGAGGGGAGGAGGAGAGGGCTGGTTTCTTGCTTGCTATGAGCTTTGAGAAGCAGCAGCAGCTGCCATCTTGCCCCTCTGTAGGGAGAAGATTGGACGGAGGGGTGAGCTTCTCCTCCCAGGAGAGCCAGCAGAGGCCGTGGACTTTTTCTCTTCAAAGAAGAGGACTCGCACTGGCTTCCTTCCTCTTCCTGCTGCTGCATTCCTTTTATAGTCCAGAGCAGGAAGGCAGGTCAGCTACTTGCTCTCTGAGGCACTAGCTTTCTCTGAGCCATGTGGGACAACCCATGTACCCTCTAGATGTGAGGGCTACCCAGCCAGGACATCTGTTACCCCACTAATCCCAAGGGCTGGGGAGATGTCACTTTCCTTAATGCTGCACAAGTTCTCTTCCGAAGCAGAAGACCAGGCGAAAGATTGGAGGCTAGGCTAGGGGGTGCAGGATTGTCTCTGCAGCCTCGATGAACATGGACTTGGCCACCAACTGGACCTGTGAAACTGACTGGCAAACCCTCCCTCACTGGAAAGGGTAATGGGGCCAGGTACTGTCTGAACACACACTCTCCCTGATGAGGTGTCAGCCCTGCTGCTGCTGGGCTTCTCGGGGTACAGGCCTGAGTCACCTGGCAGAGTGCAACCCAGTGGTTCATCCTGGGTTCTAGGCAGTTGATGGCAAAAGCCCAACAGAGATTACGCCTGGTTTAGGTGCCCCTAAAATACCACCCCCGCCCAATCTGGACCTGATCTCATCGCATTCCCATTTCTGGTTCTGTTGCTCATACTGGACAGACAGTTCTGAGAGGGACTGTATCCCACCCACCTTCACATCCCCAGGTGCCCTGATGGTACCTGCTCACTGTACATTTATTCAGCAAAGTTTTCTTGAACACCTATGATGCGCTGGCTGCTGAGAATACAGTGAGGAGCATGTCTCTGAAGGACAGATGTGTCTCTCTACCCCTCAAGGGGCTTATATTCTAGTGGAGGAGTCAGACCCTCCCAAAAGATTAATAAATGGAACAATTAGAAATTGTGATAGGGCCAGCCCCGTGGCTTAGCAGTTAAGTGCGCGCGCTCCGCTACTGGCGGCCCGGGTGCGGATCCCAGGTGCGCACCGACGCACCGCTTCTCCGGCCATGCTGAGGCCGCATCCCACATACAGCAACTAGAAGGATGTGCGGCTATGACATACAACTATCTACTGGGGCTTTGGGGGAAAAATAAATAAATAAAATTATTAAAAAAAAAAATTGTGATAAAGGGTAAAAAGACACAAGGGGCAGCTACAAAGAATGGAGGGTGGCATGTGCTTTAGATAAAGTAGTCAGAGAAGGTCTCTCTGATGAGATGACATTTAGGCTAAATCTTAAAGGGTAAGGAGTGTTCTTGGTTGAATGAATAAATGAATGAAGCAGTCAGTGTGACCGTGGATTAGTTACTTCACCTCTCTAGGCCTGTTTCCTCATCTGAGAAAGCTGGAGGTTGGTCTGAATTCCTTCTAAGAACCCAGGATATAATCAGGGATCATGGTGGTAGAGACAGAAAAAGGTAAAAGCCAGGGGCATGGTGAAGGGGAAGTGAGGTAGGAGCTATGGTGGGAGGAGGAGAGGAGGTAATGTGGCAGACAGCTGGTCAGAAACACCATTTCTAAATGGTGTTTAGTACGAGAGGACTTGCTGCCAGTAGTTCCTGGCAGGAAAGGCAGCACAAAAGCAGGGCCCCAGTCACCCCTGCATGTTCCTCCTTGGAAACCACTGGGGAGAGACTGTCTCCCACTCCCAGGACTCTTGCTCTGGACAAAGACTTTGTCTCTCCTGTCCCATTCTTGCCTGAAAAGAGTAGGAGGAGGTGGCGTTAGCAGCTGGTAAAGAGATTGAATCAAAATAAAACCCAGATGACTCAAATAGAACCAGGCGGGCAGGAAAATTGATTAGACATGTGTGACAGTGTAGGATCCGGGTGCCACCTTAGCCCTCAAGTTCTGGACCTTAGAAAATTAGGGTTCGCTGCGGAACCATCCTGGGACTCCTACTGCAGTTACTGGTCTTCCAATAAATCAGAGGTTTGGGCAGTGGTGGAAAGACTCATTCCTTCACCAAATCCCCAAATTCCTGTGGAGGTAATGTACATCTACTCAAATTAGCAAGGTTTGGGTGGAAATTTTTTCTTTAAATAACTATTTGTGCTTCATATTCCCCACAACCATGTTCATTTCTGCTATCTGCCAAACAGAATTTTTAAAAAATTATTATATTGAATTTCTGAATACTTACTATGTATTATCCATTAGAACATGAGCTCCACAGGAAGATTTTATTTGCTCCATTCATTGCTGTATCCCCAGTGCCTGTGCCTGGCACATACTCAATAATAGTTGTTGATCAGTTAGTTTAATTAATGCACGTGCAGAGGCCCTGTGCTAAGAACTTTATTTGCATTACCTTTCATTGGGATCCCTATTTTACAGATGAGGAACCTGAGGATCAGAAAGGTTAAAGAATTTGCCCACGGTCATACTCAAGACTATACAATAATTTGAAGGGCAGTGCTCAGGAAATAACAGGCAGTGCTCATTGCTATGGAAAGCTTACTCATACAGAGCCATTTCTTAATTCTCCTTCCTTCAGGACGGTGACAGGCTGCCCCTCTGCATCCAGAGCTCAGGCTGGGTGCCAAAGCTGAGATGTACTTTCCTTTCAGACAAGAAGGTACATTTCACACTGAGGAGAGCTCAGCTCAGGAACTTATGGGCTAAGAGCACCTGGGAAAAGGAACAGCTCCGGCTTCACAGGCCTCCTGCCTGCACCGCACTGCCCAGATCAGCTGACGGCGCCAGGGTAATTCAGATGTGGAGCTTACTCAGCAGCCCTGTGGCCTTTCTGGCCACCAGGCACCAACATCCAACTCTCCCCTAGCCTTGGTTCCTGAAAGCTTCTAGCTCAGAGGAAAGTGGAGCAGAAGTGCAGGGAGATGGTTCAAACTCCAATTGGGAGGAAAGTTGACGTTAGGGAAAAATGTCACCCCCATCCTTGAATTAAGAGTTCAACAGGGGCCGGCCGGTGGCTTAGCGGTTAAGTGCGTGCGCTCCGCTACTGGTGGCCCTGGTTCGGATCCCAGGCGCGCACCCACACACCGCTTCTCTGGCCATGCTGAGGCCGCGTCCCACATACAACAACTAGAAGGATGTGCAACTATGACATACAACTATCTGCTGGGGCTTTGGGGAAAAGAAGGAGGAGGATTGGCAATGGATGTTAGCTCAGAGCCAGTCTTCCTCAGCAAAAAAGAGGATTGGCATGGATATTAGCTCAGGGCTGATCTTCCTCACAAATAAATTAATTAAATAAACTTAAAAAAAAAAAAAAAGAGTTCAACAGTTGCCAAAAGGTTAACAATGGACTTCATGATAGAATTAAGACAAAATGGCTTTGTTATTTAATTCCCAAAACCCTTCATCAGGGGCTCTCCCTGCTTGTTAACCGTAAGTTCGCTGGGAGCAGAGGCTCATCTGCTCGTCCTCTACCCTGTGTACCACATGGGTACACAACAGCCCATGGGACAAGCACAGCCTGCGGAGTCAGCACTGCTTGCTAGCCCACACGACTTTGGGCAAGGTTCTTAGCCCCTTCGTGCTTCTATTTCCTCATCTGTAAAATGGGACTAAAATGGTGCCTTCGTTACAGTGTTGATGAGGATTACTTTTATTACTCCATATAAGATGCTTATTACAAGCCTGATATCTGGTAAGTGCATAAAATGGACACCATATAATGACTATTGACTAATCCTGTTCCCATTCCTCCAATTAACCCAAGGTTAAGAGGCTCTCCTGAAGTCATCCAGCAGAGAAGAGCTAGGAGCCCAGGTCTGAGGCCTTGCCATTTCCAGGTTTCTGGGTGCTCTGCCCTTCAAAGGCTAAGTGATGCCATTCCAGAAACTCCCTGAACTGTACTGACAAGTCATTAGTTCAACAAATATTTATTAAAGGTCTCCTACATGTCAGGCACTGCTCCAGGCTGGGAATAGTGGTAAATAAGACAGCCAAGGTCACCGAATTAGGGACCTTACATTATAGTTGGGAAAACTGGCAATAAATAAGTAAACAAATTTAAAATATACTTTTAGATAGTGCTGTGAAGGAAATGGGTGGCATGTGATAACTATGTACAGCATGGACCTTTGTTTTGTATAAAATCCTGACAGCATCTGTCTAGGGCAAACCTGAGTAAAGCCCGGGTTTTGGTATCTGACACATCTGGGTTTGAATTCGAGCTCCATGTGACCTTGGGCTGATGAATCTTGAATCTTTCGGCACCTCCCTCCTCAGTAAAATGGAAACAGTGACTTATATTAAGGTTGTTGTGAGAACTGATGCAATGGAACATATAAAATTTCATCAGTGTTTACTATTTTTCACTTCAGGCAGGTCAAGCTGGAACCCTTGATGAGGCCAGACAGAACTGTAACCTTGTACTCTATGTTCTTTTTGAGTGTTTGCTGGGGAGGGGGTATATGGGAATGGGGAGTTACCTGGAGAACTCTTGAAAAGGAAAAAAAAATTCCTGGGAGAAGCTGTTCCTCCTTGCCATTTGATAATGAACTGGTATCATTCTTTCCTCTAAGTACACCTTCAATGGAGAAATGTTCTCGGTTGATTGCCATAGCTCAGGATTTAATGCAGTCTTATAAAAACTACAAGTTACCCTTTATAACCCACTAATTTCCAAAATTGGGCATAGAAATAAAATATTAGAACTTCTATTTATATTTATTTTTCATATAGTTGCTTTTTAATATCTATTTTTGTGTCTGATGATTACACAACATGAGTACAGTAGTACAGGTATATAATTTACCAACACATGGGGGTATATGCATGACCAAAAATTTCTTACTGATGGGGGTGTGCAATCAGAAGAGGTCAAAGGCCACATGAAGGCTAAGGTAGGAAAATTAAGGTCAGTTCTCATTTTACTTGCCCAACATAAACTAAGAAAATGCATTATTTCCATAAAGTAGCCTGCAGGCACCACTATGCTAATAAGCAGCAGGGTGAAAAAAAGGAGCCAGTTTCTTAAATGCCACGTTAGTGTTCTCTCTACAAATTTCTGGGGAAAAAAGTCGAAGTAGAAATTAAATACACACTGCAAACTAAGTAAAAAGCCAACCTTTGGATGAGCCATTGAACAGACCAGGTCATTGGCCTGAAAAATACGCACAAGACAGAGGCCACTCTCCAGCAGTTTCAGAGTCACTCTCCCAACAGGAAACCTCCTCCACGTAGGGCTTTTTCATTACCTCATTTGCGGGGAATTTATTTTTCATTTATTTCCCATTATGCTACAATGAGTCCATTTTTGAGACAGATGTGTCCTTCCTCTCCCCAACTCACACACACATCTATCACCACCACACGCTCCAGCTTCCTTCAAACCATTCATTTCACCTCCAAGGAGGTGACACCATCTGGAACCAAAAATGAAGCGGCAAAATGTTGAAAATAAAAATAAAGCGGACTTTATTTAGAAGATAAAGGTGGTGGTATCAGTTTTGGTTAATAAAGTTGGGCTCAAGTGTTTTAACAGGTCTTCAATGCCATCACAGACTGGCATGCCAAGGGCAATCTGAATGCCAATTACAGATTGAAGTTGTTTCGAAAACCAAGATGCTATTAAAAGCTGATGGAGTTTGGATTTTTCTTAAAGTCAGACTAACACACTTCTTAAATGTAAGAGTGACTAGATTACTTGGTTCTGAAAGTGAAAACACTACACTGAGCAATTCCCCTCCTTTTCTCCACAAGTCCCTAAGGCAAAATTACAGTTGCCTCTGACAGCCAAAATTTCAACATTTCAACAGAGGGGAGCTGAGGGGAACTGGGAAAATGAAAAGCAAAATTAATAAATGTAATTGTAATTGATATAGGCAGCTGCCACTTGTGGCAAACCAAAGCCTAGTCCGATGCCCATTTTCTCCATTTGCACTGACATCTTCCCAAGCAGACGGTAACTACATTCTTGAAGGAATGTGCCAAGACTAGGGTGGGGAAGGCCCAAACAGTGAGTGGACAGAATGCGTTTTGCATTCAGTTGCCTTAGGTGGTACAATCAATTAAGGACAAATACCCTGACTATGGAAAACCCATTAGCCAAAGGTAACTAGAAAAGAGGATTAAATGCATAACCAGTGCAGAATAACTGCGAGGCACCAAGACCACAATCCAACCAGCCCCTTTTCCTCCTCTTCATCACTGAACGGATCTGGGAGAAAGTATTAATAACAGCACTTGTCAACTGCTTCCCTGGAACAAAACATGACAAAACACACGGAAGGTTTTGTTTTCATTATGGTTCTCGGTGTACTTTATTCTCCTGCTGTCTAGCTAGCTAAACAGCCCACACAGGACAGAAATGGGTAGCACTGAGGAATGATCAGATTTTTTTTCTCCCCAATATTCCTGCTCCATCCCTAAGCCCTGACCAACCCCTATCAGGAATGGTTAGTATACCATCCTCTCCCTCAAGGAACAATTAAAACTTAAAACAAGGCATTAGAGGGCCAGGTCTTTTCTTAGTAGGGCTTAGGAGCTGGTGCAAGCTCTTTACTCACAATGGAGCGTCTTTCCTTCAAACACCTGGATTTTTTTTTTTGTACACTGGTTCATAGATCGGCACTTGACTTTGAACCTGGCACCAAAAGGCACAATATCTGATACCCTGTACAAGAGCTATTAGAGATGCTGCCGTATGGATGGGCAAAACGGAGCCAATCCCACTTATGAATGGAAGGCTTGGACAGGGAGGGGAAAATGGCCAAGAGAAAAACATAAGCCCCTATTTTTTGCTAGAATGGAAATGGAAGTGGGAATTTAAGGTCTTGTTATTTTTAATCCTCCAAATACCAGGAAGCAATTAAAAATCTTCCTTGGTGTTTTTGAAAGCAGCATATTCAAAATGCCAGCAAAAACTCCTAGTAACTGCAAAACCTAAAGGGGATCAAAGCTCACTGACATCCCTCCTTATTGCTGAAAGGTTCTAAAACCAAAATTCAGGGTGCTCTGTTCCCTTGTAAAGGGGAAAATAATTAAGTCTGATTTACGGTTATCACAGCACATCACACTTTTAAAAAATATATTAAAGCGTGTGACCAAGGGAATGTTTGACACCATTTTATTAATCTTCAACTTCAGTGGAAAAATATAACCTTTTTCAAGTGCCATTTTCATTACAAGAGTTCTAACATATATATATATATATATATATATACACACACTTATATATATATATATATATATAGGGGTTTTTTGTTGTTTGTTGGTTAGTTGGTTTTGAAGTGCAGCAAGAGACCAATAATACCACATTGTAGTCAATCAAATAAAAGAGAACAGAAGGCCAAGCAGTTTCCAAATGGTTATTTTATCAGATTGTTTGAACATTAAACTTATCCTCGTTTGCAATCCAAAATAGTTACCTGAAGTTTGCTGTGTGTGTGTATTGTATATTTGTTTTCTAAACTCTTTGGCACAATTTTCTGGGGGCGTTCAGACTGCCACAATACACCTCAGGAGACAACTTTTCTTTTGTGCTGCCAATTCTGAGTATTTAAATTTTGGTCTGTTTGGGTTGTGGCTTTCTTTTGTTTTTGAAGTCTGCATTCTTTATTTGTAACAATTGTACTTTTATTTTTTCTATATCCTCTAACTCCAGAGTTATCTTTTTCTCCCCCCTCCCCCCCACTTCTACATTCACAGTTGAACCATATTATTAGGAAAGGCGTCTTGATGAAAAGATCAGGATGGGAGCTCTGACCATTCGTCAGTGTTTTCCCTAGAATTTAAAAAAAACAAAAAACAAAACCTAAAGAGCGTCTTTCCTTTTTTTTTTTTTTTTTTTTTTTTTTACATCTCTTGTGCTGCATCAGTAGACAGAACTTCAGTTAGTTTTATGAAATGCAATGTCTAAACCCCTTTTTTTCTGGGAAAAAGAAACTGCAATGACTTGAAGTTGAGAATGTGGATACCGCCTCACTCACACACACTCATTCTCAGACTGTAAAGAATCCCTCACCCTCCTTTTAGCCGGCACACATACAGTACCGTGTGGCAAAGATACACCAAAGGTGGGCTTGAGACCCAGGCTCCATCTTTCTTATCAGTAGCAAAGGCCAGGTTGCCTTTTACAACAAAGCACCACAGCTGAACCCAGTTCCTCCTCCTCTCCCGAACCAGTCACTCCACTCTGCACCGGCCAAAAGACAGAAAAGCTAGTTCTAGCCTCTCCTAGGAAGAGATAGCTTTCTTTTTTTTAAGCAAGTAAATCCATCATTTTCCTTTTCCAAGATGGCCGACGTTATGGTTTCCTACGAAGTCAGTGCTTACTTAGCTCACTAACAGCGCTGCTGTTGGTGGCTGCGGCTGCTGCTGTGGCAGGATTTTCAATGTGGTGTGTTTTCAAGCCTCACTCACTCATCCTCTCATTCCCAAACATTCAGCATCCGTGCACACTCCTCACTTCCGGGTTTTTCAAAAGATTGGAGATTTCCAGTGGGGGTCTCAGGTTATCATCCCAATGGTAACAGATCTAAAAACAGATAGAAAAAAGGTGAATTTTTGAGAATATATATAGCCAGTAAAGCTAAACACCTCTTTGATACCTACAATTAAGTGCTCATAGGCCTAAAGTGAATTTGTCAACTTTGCAAGGATTATTTTTCTTCTCTTCCTAAGTGCCATCTTTGTTAGTGCTGTCGAGTCGATTCCGACTCTTAGCAACGCTGTGGACAGCAGAGCACAACCCTGTCTGGTCTTTCTGCACCAACCTCTCATCATCCTGCACTTTATCAGACAATGCTCCTCTGCTATTTATAGGATTTTCATGGCCAATTTTTTTGCAACTGGGTGCCCAGGTCCTTCTTCCTAGTTTATCTTAGTCTGGAAGCTCCAGTGAAACCTCTCCACCATGGGCGACCCTGCTAGTCTTTGAAATACTGGTGGCAGAGCTTTCAGCATCATAGCACCATGCAGCCCCCACAGTATGACAACCCACAGACGGGTGGTGTGGTTCCCTGACCAGGAAGCGAACTGCTGTGGCTGTGAGAGTGCCAGATCGTAACCTCTAGACCACCAGGGCTAGCCATGTGCCATCTATCTGCTCTCACTAGCAACTACATCAGAGAGTGGGAGGGAAAGTCAAAAGATAAAACTCGAAATAGTCAATTTTACTGAGATCTGTGGAGTAAGGTAACTAAGTATGTGAGAGGAAAATAAATTAAAATTACACTGCAAAGCAGGGCTCAGACAACTCTGACTTTAGATATCTTCTGCAGAGCTAAGCAATGTCTAAAAGCACTGCAGTAAAGAAAGAAAAGAGTATGAGGAAGGGAATAGAGAGTAGAAAAGAGAATTATGGGAAAATGCCATTACTGATGACTTTATTAGGGCCCAAAATGATGTGGGGACTTTAGTGAATTCTTTTTACATAAGTTCTGTCCTTCATCACCATGAGGAATCAAATATTTGGCTCAAGCAAAGACTGAAGTTGCCTGACCCTTCCTCTCGTACCAGGCTGAGTAACAAAGGCCTGGCTCAGAAGCACTTATATGGGAAAGAGTACAAACCAAAATACCAAAGGAAAGGCAGCTCTTGTCAGAACAGTCTAAAGAAAATGTAGCTCTTCCCCAAGAAATTACAAGAGAGCAGTGGAAATAAGTTCTTACCAAGCTTGGTTCTTCAGTTTCCTCAGTTCTTTTGTTGCCCATGTTGCAAGGGTTTTTGCTTTGTTAGTCTTCGATCTCCGTCCTTCAGTTAACAGTTCATGGATCATTGGCCTAGCTTCTACTAATTTCAGTACATCCTTCCCAAATGCTGTACACAAGTCCCTGTGCAAAATAAACAGAACTGAAAATGAGCTCCTGGCCCTCTACCAATATCATGTTTTGAGCCTTCTAAACCAATGCTAAGCTAGCTGTGGGTTTCTTGGTATTCACTTAATTTTTAAAGCTGGAAGAAATTTTAGAGATAACTAAGTCTAACACTTGCCCTCAACAGATGAGAAAAATGAGGTCTAAAGAGAAAAAATGACTTATCTAAGGTTCCATAGCTAATTCATGGTAAAATCAGAACTAGAATATCCAGGTCTTTGAGCTCAAGACCAATGTTCTTTTTTTTTTTTTAAAGATTTTATTTATTCAGTTTTTTCTCCCCAAAGCCCCAGTAGATAGTTGTATGTCATAGGTTCACATCCTTCTAGTTGCTGTACGTGGGACTCGGCCTCACGTTGGACGGAGAAGTGGTGCCTCGGGGCGCTCCCGGGATCCGAACCCGGGCCGCCAGCATCAGAGCGCGCACACTTAACCGCTAAGCCACGGAGCCGGCCCAAGACCAATGTTCTTCTAATGATGCCTCAGAAACCCTCAGCAGAGAAGGCTAAACAGAGGCAATTTGCTAACCAACATCAGAATATGGGATGGACACAGATCTGACGCTGCTTCTATACCGAGAACTCACTTCACAAAGAGTTTAGTGGGGGAGAAATTAGAAATCTAGAGGGTCTGGAATAAGGCTAGAGCTAAAGTCTGAAATGAATTATCATTTGTGAGAACTCAAAAGAGGACAACAATGGTTCTGTTAAAGAAAGAAATCTCCATGCCAAAGAATTACCATCCAGGATACTCTCAAAATTCCTTAATACACGTTTTCTCATTTTCTGTAAGTTGTATTCAGCTATGGGAAGCAGAGTATAACCTACCCTATCAGCCCAGCAGCACAAGCTACCACTCCATCTGTATGATCCTCATCTCCAGCAATGTGGTCAATGAAAGACAGAATAAATTCTACTCTGGGTTGTACCAGCATCACATCCGCTATAAAAGAAAGAGAAGGTATGATGAAGTCATCCACATTTGGCGTGACTATATCCCATTTCAAAATTTCCAAATACTCGACCCCATCAGGCAGGTTTTAGGCTGGAGAACTAGTTGCATATAGGTATAAACCAAATTATTCTTCCTCAGATTAAGATGTCATTCTTCAAGTCAATAGAAGAGGCAGATAGTCCTCTTCTTACAAGCAGATATAATATAGAAAGAACAAATGGAACCTTTCCTCTAAGCCTATGATATCAAAGGGTAAAGTACAAATATTTCCCCCATCAGTAACAGAAACCTCAGGCGGCAGAGGACACCTGATCCCCCAACCTTTCAGGTCAGCTGCACTGGGGGATGCTCAAAAACTGCCACATATGGTTGGTGTAGATGCAACCAGCACCAGCAGCCTGGCTGGATCCCATCCCTTGCAATGTTCAAGAAATGTGAGATAAAGTAGCAGAGGAAGGGGGAGAAGAAATAATAAAATAAAGTCTATATCCTCCCCCAAAGCTACTCTCCTCCTTCTCCCCTTCCTTTAAGCAATAGGTGCTAGTTTACAAATAAGCTACAGAATGAAAGACACAGCTCATTTGGCTAAGTGCACACTGAACTAAGTGAATTGGGTTGTATACTCAACGGTGTACGTTCTCCTGGTCTCCCTTCAATCCCTGGACAATGCCGGTATAGGCTTCCAAGCAGCCTTCCCTTAGCTCATTCAGATAATCCACCATGTCATAGTCTGACTGTAAGAGACAAAGAACAGAATCTCCATCATACTGATCATCTTTAGTTGTATGTTAAAAGTCTCACTCCTCCAATCAGGGCTACACTTAAAGCTAGCTTAAGCTTACCTTGTCCACCTGGGCTTGCGAGGCCTGCTGAAGAGTATTCAATACAACTTCTAGGTATTTTTTAAATTCTCCACCAATAGCAAGGGCAATATCACCAAACACTGACAGAATCTGCGGCTTCACAGATCTGTGGACATTCTCATTCTGCCAAGAAGAAAACAAAAAAACAAGGAAAGGAAATTAATAAAAGTAAAAATTTGTTCTGTCTAAACACTCAAGAAACTTTTTTTTTCTTTTTCTTTTGTTTTGCTGAGGAAGACCAGCTCTGAGCTAACATCTATTGCCAATCCTCCTTTTTTTTTCCCCCCAAAGCCCCAGTATATAGTTGTATGTCATAGTTGCACATCCTTCTAGTTGCTGTATGTGGGATGCAGCCTCAGGATGGCCGGAGAAGCAATGCGTTGGTGAGCGCCTGGGATCCGAACCCGGGCCGCCAGTAGCGGAGCGCGCGCACTTAACCACTAAGCCACGGGGCCGGCCCATAAACTTTTTTCTCTTAATAATAAGCAACTACTAATATGCTGGGTATAGACCTTAAGGACTTACACAAAAATTAACAGTGGTTATCTCTGGATAGAGGGATTATATATTTACTTTTCCTTTGTACTTTACTGGTTTTCCCCTCAAAATTGCATGCACTGAGCATGCATTCCCTTAATTAACTTTACAACTGTACTTTAGAATCTTGTGAAAATGAACAATTTCCTTCTTCATAAGCCCACAGACAATATTCTGGGAACTTATAGCTCCCTGTCATGGATCTTGATGTTTAACCATCTTTCCAACCAACAATTTCTTCAAATACTGGTAAATTAGATTGTGTGTATACACACTCACCCCCAAGTTCTCCAGCAGGAGCTGCATCACCTCATCACAGAAAGGTAAGATGTTGGATTGCAGGGCACGGCATAGGTCTCCCACTAAGCCCACAGCTGCCAGGCAAACCTGCCGAGAATCAAAGAAATGATCTACCAGAAAGGGCTGCCTGCAGGGATATGGCATTATTTTTACCCAGCTGCTGGTTCTTTACCACTTGAACCTAAAGTCAAAGATGGAAACATTCTCCCTCTACGAAATTAGTTCATTTTAACAATCAATATGGCAGAAAGATAACTAGGACTATCCGAGATATCATTAAGAAAGACAGAAAAGACAATATTCACCAGGGATGGTGGTGACAGAAGTGGGTGGTTAAAAAAAAAAAAGCCCTGCTCTTAGGGTGCTACTCTGGTGCCTCTAATATGCATCCGTTTTTCAGTGACTACTTCTAGTTCACTCAGGGCAACAAATAAAGAAGCCCAACACTTGGGACAATACATAGGAAAGAACTATCTGGGCCTCAGAAACCTGACTTTGTACCAAAATGACTACCAGGTATAAACGAAAATATAAATGTATTATTTTGAAAAGCATAACCTACCTGGTATTCAGCATAATTTTTCAATCCAATGCCCAGGAAGGGTTTAAAGGCCTCCATGTACTTGAGGAATTCACCACCCAACACTGTAAAGAAACAAACTATTAGCACCACAGGGTATCATGGAAGTGAGCAAAAATAACCATCCTAGCTCTCCCAAAATGTATTCACTCCACTCAACAGGTTGGATGGAGTGTGAGTTAAATACAGATTTTATCACGAAGACATTAAGGCTGCCTCGGACAAGCCAAATTCATAACTGCTGGAAGGGCCTAACCCTTACGCCCTGGAGATTAACGCCACACCTCCAGAGTAGGATTTCACTGACTGAAACAACGAAGTGGTACGGCTCTCAAAGAACATCAGGGCTATTTCTGAACTGGCTGAGCTAGCAATACTGCCTCTTGTCCACCTCCTCATCTGATTATAACATGTCATCTCTGGAAGCCAGCTTCAAAACAAGGTCCCTAGGCAATTCCATCAAGGACTCACTTAACAAACCAGTCAAGAAGAGCAGACTGGGCTTCATATTCAAATCAGCCACTCCAGGAGCCAAGATGAACTTCTGTGCCCTGTCAGGGTGGTCACAGTTGGACATATGCTCTTTATGCCAGATATAGGTCTGGTCCTCAGGTAATGGCCTTAGTAATACACCTTATAGGCCACCTCTGAAGAAGTGTTCCAGGTTTCTAAAGTGCTCTTTAAGGGCCCTTTAAAGAGTCTTAAGTCAAATGTGGCTTCCCCAAAGCAATTTTGCATAGTCAGACATGTAACAATCAGAAAATCAATTAATTTCTAGAACTCACTCAATGTTTTCATTACATCCCATACCAGACACCATGATGTGTCAACCTGAGTCCAAAGCATTACAACTCAAAGCAGGAGGTACCAAGTGCCAGGAAAGAAAATAGAAATCTTTGCTTCCTCCATCCTTGATAAGAGCTAAACCTCAATAAAGCAAGTAGATTTTCAGGAGGAAAACGAACCTGATAAACATGAGGTAGATGATAACAGTTTCCCCCCCAAAAAGGTTGCCAATCTGAGCTGCAAACTGGCTCCCCATTTACTTCAAGGAGAGTGGCAAGGCAGTTATACACAAATTTACACTGCCGTGCAATCCAACTTTGAACTGACTCATGCCCCACTAAATGAGAAGACAGGAATATGCTTTCTGTGGTCAAAAATTCTTCATGGCCATTGAAACTCTTGCATTCTAAAGACATTCCCTGGGCCAGCCCCGTGGCTTAGTGGTTAAGTGCGCGTGCTCCGCTACTGGCGGCCTGGGTTCGGATCCCAGGCGCACACTGACGCACCACTTCTCCGGCCATGCTGAGGCCGCGTCCCACATACAGCAACTAGAAGGATGTGCAACTGTGACATACAACTATCTACTGGGGCTTTGGGGAAAAAAAGCAGGAGGATTGGCAATAGATGTTAGCCCAGGGCTGGTCTTCCTCAGCAAAAAGACGAGGATTAGCATGGATGTTACCTCAGGGCTGATCTTCCTCACACAAAAATATATATATATATTTAAAAAAAAAAGAAAAGACATTCTCTGCCCAATTTTGGCTCACTGACCTTCCACCAGTGTGCTAACTGCCATTAGGGCATCCTCTTGCACGCCCCCAGACCCAGCTGTGCTTTGGAACATCCTTAACAGGGAGGCCATGACCACATCAGAGATCTGCAAAGCATCTTGATGTTGTACTTTCCGGAGAACGTTCTGTGAAATAAACAACAGTTTAGGATCTATTGATTCCAAACCCTCCAATCAGAACACTAGACCGTTTTTTTTTTTAATCAATTAAGTCCTTTGGAAAAAAATTTTCTTGGAAAGGCCAAATTCACTTTTTATGCTCAAAAGTTTTGACAGTGCCAATCATCTGCAACGAAACACACATTTTAATATCCCTTCTATTTCCCAATTCAGAACAAACACAAGATGCTCCTCCATGGTACAGAAAGTCATCTCTTCTGCATTTCATTTATGTCGGACAAATCCCTGCCAGTAGCCTCATATTCCAGTCTTAGTGGAATGGCAGTTAAATTATTTCAGCCTTAAAGAAGGACATGTCATATTAGAGTTCTTACAAAACAAAAAAGCAATCCTTCCTATATCCTAACTGATTTACAGATGATGATCAAGAAATAGTCTTGTGGGCCGGCCCCGTGGCTTAGCGGTTAAGTGCGTGCGCTCGGCTGCTGGCGGCCCGGGTTCGGATCCCGGGTGCGCACCGACGCACCGCTTCTCCGGCCATGCTGAGGCCGTGTCCCACATACAGCAACTAGAAGGATGTGCAGCTATGACATACAACTATCTACTGGGGCTTTGGGGGGAAAAAAATAAACAAATAAAATCTTTAAAAAAAAAAAAAAAAAAGAAAAAAGAAATAGTCTTGATAAAATAAAGCCAACTTGACCGCTCCTAATGCAATATTCCTCAAACCTCCCTCCTTACTCTGTTTCAACTAATGTTACTGGATCATTCCTGTATTTGTCTGATGAACAAGGAAAGACCTCTTAACAGTCATGCTTTAAAAAACAAAGTTTGGAGTAAAAAAGAGAAGGGAGTTCACAGGTAAGATGACCTAGTTAGCATGACTCAATACTAAAATCTAGTACCTACCCGAGCATCAGACAAGTTACAGGGTTTTGCTGTTCTTTGGTAAAAAAGGGAATAGCTCCTCAACCACTCCATGATTCCAGCCACAAGTGAGGAGTGACATTTTAATTTTCCCAGTCTCTCCTCAGAAAAAGTCTACTGTGAACACTGGGTACTATAAATGATGGAAATTATAATAAAGCTTCCAACAGCAACTGTTGTTTCAAAAGACAATGGTAGAAACTCAAGGCTATATCTTTAGCCAAGTGAACCACCAAATCACACTGGGCTATTCTTGGACAACGCAATGAAAACCAAAGACTAAAAGTTGCCAACACAAAATCGCTATACTGCTGGGAGAACCATCACAAACCAAGCAGTCTCTTTCCCTAACCTGTGCGAGACACAAATTGCGTCTTCGTGGACAGGCAAGAAAGGAAAATGGGAAATTACTCTCCCAATCAATCAGAGACCAAGGCCTTTTGAGAGGAGCTTCTGATCAGCATCATCTACACCATTTCAGAGTTCTGTGTGCACATAAACTTGTCATCCTGATATGATTCTCTTCCCTGGAGCTATTAAGTGATAACGAACCATCATACCTGAAGAGTTGCACAGAGTAAAGACTGAAGGTCATTGAACTGGATCCTATCCGATGTACTCTGGATATGTGACTACAAAGAAAAGAAGATCATCATGTTCTGAATAAACCCCTTCTAAAAGGGCTGTAAATTCCCTCAACGCTTCCACTTTTGCTGGGTTTGCCAGGACCATTAAATAGTGTTTACTGACACTACTGCTGGAAAGTAAATAAAAAACTTATATGCATATACAGCGTAACGCATGTAGGAATAAACTGTGACAAGCAATGCAAATTTTAAGTCACAACGTTTTTTATATAAGCCTGATAACTTTCTGAGAAAATATATACTTAAACACCAAAAAGTGAGAACACTTTGGAACTAGAGCTGTGTGTTAGGAGTACTGCACCCCTTCCACCACGAGCCAGGAGCACCCTGAGCCTCACCTCCATCTGCAACACCTGCTGCAGTCGCTCCATGATGACCAGAGTGGTTTTCTGAACCGCAGGGTAACAATCCTTGGCACTGTTTTTCACAATTTCCATCAGAGATTCATATGCAGAACTCCTTAGGTTGTTCTGGTGTCCATCAGGTCTGTAACGAACACAACAAAAATCTCTGCCTCAACTGAGAAAGGGCAGAAAAGTTGTTATACTGTACACATTGTCTCACCAAAAATAAGAACCCAGAAACCGATGTTGTTGCAGACCTGGTTTGAGTGTGGCAACACAATACAGCCAGGAATCAAATTTTCAAGCTTTGAGCCATTGGCTATGATCATTATGGTCTCCAGACCTGGTTAAACTTTAGAATGGCCTTTTTGGAAATGGGCTAAAATTATAGAGAAAAAATTAGTTTAAAATGCTGAAGAACCCACGTGGACAATTGAGGAGGTTGCCTGAATAGCCAAGACAAAGACACCTCAATTTTCTTCACTCATCTGCGAGAAATGCCTTTATATACAACCTTTAACAGAGAAGTGGAGATTAACTAGTTAAACATGGAAGATTTTCTACCCAGCCCTCTTTTTCTTTTAAGCATGGCTTCAGGCATAGCTCACACAAAACCAAAATAATTAAAGGCTGTCCCCAACTTCAAACCCCTTAAAACTACATTTCAAAAGCTCATTTATAAAACAATTCTATTTAATGCCAAGTTCTTCATCCAATATCATAAATGGTGGTTAATGATCTGGTGTGGCAACTAAATTCATAATGAGAGCTACTATTTCTCTTATACCATAATCAAACACTCCTGTTAACTGTAGACACTGCAAAATGAAGGGACCTCTTTAGATAAATTATTCTCTATAAGCAGAGAAATGAGACTGTTTTCTGACTTTAACTGTAAACTGAACAATTCTAAGGTAGACAGTCTACATTTCTTTCTTTTCTTTCTCTCATTTAAACAAATAATCGACTATAGAATTCTTTTAATTCCTCCTATTGCAATGTTTATGATTAGGTTAGACAGCCCCCCACATAAGGGACAAAATGAGTTGGATGCAAAGACACCACCCATTTCTGCGCAGTAACAGTTACCTGTCTGTGGTCTCCAGAAGCTTCTGAACTATGAGTTCAAAAGAAGAAGATAAGCAATAGGTAGCTGGTTCTTCCTGATCATCAGCTACGTCTGCAGCTTCATAAGCAGCTTCAGCCAGACTGGAGAAAGCCTTGAACCCAGACAGAGTTAATATTAGTCCTGAAAAGAACCCCACCTTAGGATTACCTCATTTTTACTTAAGATACCTTGTGCAGTGTTCCTTTCCTACTGATCTAAGAATAGATCAGTGCTAGAGAATTCTCAACCTTTTCTATCAAGGTAAGACAACCTAACATTTTATAGGTATCCCCAAAATTCAATGTTTATTTATTTATTTATATTTTGTTTGTCCTGCCCAATAATCTGCCCACAACTTTCTTTTTTCTTTTTTTTGTGAGGCAGATTAGCCCTGAGCTAACACCTGTTGCCAATCCTCCCTTTCTTTCTTTTCTTTGCTGAGGAAGACTGGCCCTGGGCTAACATCCGTGCCCACCTTCCTCTACTTTATGTGGGACACCTGCCACAGAGTGGCTTAATAAGCAGTACACAGGTCCGTGCCTGGGATCTGAACCTGCAAACCCCGGGCCGCTGAAGCGGAGTGCGCAAACTTAACCACTACACCACCAGGCCAGCCCTGCCCCAAACTTTCTAAGCACCAGGGTACTTTCACCTACAAGTGCCTGCCACTTCACTTCTTTTCATTCACGGAAAGGCTTTCAGTCCCACTCCTTCCTTATCTGAATCCCCCAACACACCCCCAAATAAACTACATGCAGTCTGTCCTGACTCAGCACATAGGCCACCTACCCTCCTTCTCTCTTGCCTCCTTCTTAGCAACGGTACATTCTGTAGCCAGCAACTCTCTACCTTAATCAAAATTTCTTGTCCCCAAGCAACTAAAGAAAGAAAATCGGGTCCAGAGTTTTCCCGCTGGGTTAGCATGACTGTTCTAAATGGTTCAAGAACTAGTCACCATGAGTCAACAAATTCCCACTGGCTCATGCAGTTGGCATCTCCCTCACATTTTAATTGAAGAAATTAGGAGATGCTATTCAGAAAAACCCTTCCAGTGAGGTAGACCCATTTCTCTCCCACACCTCCTACTTCCTTGCCAGTGGCTCGGCCAAGCTCCTTATCTCACCAGGGAGAAAAATCTCTTACCCAGCACACGTTTGAAGCCACTCTGGGTTCAGCACTGAGGCCCTCAATCAGACACTGCAGCAGGGGAGTCAAGTAGACATCATTGATGGCAGCTTCCGGGAGCAGTTCACAAATTCTGCCCACAGTCCATGCAGTTGTATCTCGAACAACTACACTGGGGTCTTTCATTAATTCTATTAGGGTGGGCATGGCCTGAAAACACAACAGTTATTAGCAAAGCAAAACAAAGATTAAAATACATGTTGACTGATACCTCAGAAGAGGAAATATTGATGGCTGTGCTTTAACTCAAAGCATCAAGACAGTTTTGTCCTTAATTTTAAAAGACATGCTTGTCAGATATTCAACAATATAATAAAAGTAAAGTGAAAAGTGAAAAAGTCCTCCTCTCTTCACCAAATCTCAATATAGAGTTTTATTAAGAGTTTGGTATGAAAGCTTTCAGCAGTCTTGACTCAATTACTCAGGTAGAGATCCCAGGAAGCAGCTGTGATGGCATTTGGCTATATCCTGAAAGGACGTGTTCTATATGCACTAAACTCAATTATATGGACTCTTGTGTCATTTATAAGAGCAAAATAAATACAAAATTTCCATAAGACTGCATTACATAAATATCATTTTGTTCTAAGGAAAGACAATCACATAATTAAAAATTATGCATTAAGGGAAAAAACAAGTTATAAGACTACTGGCACAGTAAGATCTCCATCCTGCTGCACATACATACACACAGAAAAAAGCTGCAAGGATAAATACCAAGAGTTAAGAATGCTATCCCTGAGCAATGGGATTAAAGGAGACTTTTTCTTTTTGGCTTTTTTGGCATTTTTCAAAAGTCCTGTGACTTTTGTAACAAAAAAAGTTAAGAAATATATGTTACCCTTCACTGACAGCAAATAGCTATCTAGAAATAACTTTTGTGGGTGACTACTTAATAGCTTTGTTTTTAAAATAAAGGCAGATTTTCAAGCAGAAAGTTTAAACAAACAATAAATACCCCATTTTCCACCCCCAAACTCCCTCAGCTTCACCTGTATAACTAGCGGTTTGAGCTGATTGGGCTCTGGTCCTTCCAAGATACAGCCAAAAGCCATCACTGCTGCATCCCGGTACCGCCAATCAGGGTTCTTGATGTGTTCTTTAATGAAGGGGAGGACATGCGGGACAATGTCATCTTCACAGCAGGTGGCCAGAAGCATGAGGCACACCCCTGCCGCTTTGCAGGGGTTCCAGTCGTCATCGTCATCATTTTCATCCTGGTGAAACAATGTGGCACTAGTTAAGTTTTTGTTCAAAGAAACACTTTAACTGAAAAGTTCCTCTAACTACTCCCAAATGTCATTAGAACTTAAACTCTGGGGAAGTAAATAAAATCTAAAACCTTTATATTTTAATCTCTTCCACAAAGATTCATCACAGCACAGCCTGTTAAATAAGATGCAGATGGAGGGAAGATCCCACTTCCTACTATACAAAGAAATGAGCAAACTTCAACTACATGTAACCAGTATGAACTCTGAACACAGAGAGTACAAGGCAGAACAAAAGAGTCTATGCTATACGGTTCTAGCTATATAAAGGTCAAAATGAATCAAAATTAATCTATGGAGTTAAAGGTGAGGAATTAATTAATAACTAGGAAGAAGACATGAGGGAGGCTTCTGGTGTGCTATTAATTGTTATATTTCAATAAAAAGTTAAACACACAAAAAAAGATTCCATTCAGATCTCCCTTGAAATTAGAATTCAAGGTATATCTTCCTTACTGTGGCCATTCACACCACATAGTAATTTAACGCAGGTTGCCTATGTAGTTTCAGAAAATTACAAACCTAAAGAATGACCTGTTCCCAAACAAGAAAAGCACAACAAAAATATAGAAAAGTGAAGATACTAACGTCAAAAGATAAAAAATAGCAACTGTAGAACTGAAAGATGAGATGAAAATTTAAGGGAACACCCAGTCCATTTCATACGAAATACATCTCTACTTATCTTTTGAGATTGTTATATTGAAAGAGTCATGTACTTTCCTAAAAACAAATTATATTCTTGTGTACAAAGAAATTTTGCAGTGCTCAAAGTTACAGCACTCTTTCCTCAGAGCACTGCCAGCTCTTTGGTAGTATTTCACACGCACCAGAAGAGATGAGGTGACAAAAAGAACCTTCCCAAACACCATACCAAGAAAAACGGGGATGCATCAAGTCAAAAGGGAACAATGGCAACCAAGACACACTTCTTATAAAAGAAGTTTTATATTTACTCATTAGACCCATATCTTTGTGAAGTCTTGTTACTTTTACTTTGTCCTGAATCTTATTAATTGATGTTAATGATCATGAAGGATCGATCAGAAGTTTCTTTCATGGGCTGGAGCCCTTCATTAGGATCTGAATAACTTTTATTTAACCTCATCAGCATTTTAAAAGTGTATACATATATACACACACACACACACACATACCGTCAACTCGTGAAAATATCCTAGCTATCAGCAAATATTTGAGCGGCCTAAAACTAGCACATCTCTCTTCCCAACTTTCTTTACTGCATCTTCTATAGCACGTCTCTTGTGTCAGTTTGCACAACGCAGCACTCAGGAAATCAGAGCAGTGTGTGTGGCTCATCCCTGATCAAGACTGAAATGTTCAGACCCAGTTCTCCTCCACAAACAACTCTGCGCCTAGAGAATCTTACAGATCCAGCTCAGCTATTCCAGAGTCATCTATAGCAGAACATTAACCAGTTGAAGTGCTGCTGAGCTCCTTCATGGAAACTATTCTATAGCAAACCAACCCTTAACAAGGTCTCATAGCTTACCTGGCTAGATACAGAAGGTAACTTACCTGTTTAGTTAGTGTCTGTGTGAGGATTGGAACCAGGTACTGTAGTGCTCCCTTGGCATAAAACTTGCTGGTGTGCTCAGGGGGCCGTCCTTGTTCTGCTGCCTGAGGAGAAACATAAAGCCCATTCTGGATGGCAGCAAACAAGCTGATACTAAAGGCATAAAATTAGAGCTGCCCAGGGGTCTGAACAGAAATATATGGAGCAAATGGTAACATTCACTATGATCTGTGGAGGCGCTCATTTTTTGGTCTACTTCAATGAAACTCTTTTAGGCCATACAGATAACCTACCTTAAAGGACTAAGGCAACTCTTTAAGAATTAAATTCTTTTTTCACAAGCTCCATTCGTATTAAAAAGCTGCCATCTAAGTGACCGTTGGATCAAGAGATGTACTAAGTTTATATAAGGATGCCAAAAATAAGATTGTGTTTTTTGCAGTACATAAAGACAAGGTTGGAAACAAAGCTTGAATTCAAAAACTGCAAGTGCTGGGCCGGCCCTGTGGCTTAGCGGTCAAGTGCTCACACTCTGCTGCTGGCGGCCCGGGTTCGGATCCCAGGCGCGCACCGATGCACCGCTTCTCCGGCCATGCTGAGGCCACGTCCCACATACAGCAACTAGAAGGATGTGCAGCTATGACATACAACTATCTACTGCGGCTTTGGGGGAAAATAAATAAATAAATAAAACAAAAATTGCAAGTGCAGAACTAACCCCTTTATCCAAATCTAATTCCTTTACCAGAGTTAGTAAACTATCAATTATACATCCCATGCTTACATTAGGACTTCCAAAAGGAAATAATTCAGCATCAGACGTCACCTCGTTAAATTGTGACTGCCTGCTGCCCCCTTGTGTTCATAGTACCAATATCAATATTTACAACAAATCATGCCTGACTAAAACATGAGATGCCTCATTACTGAACAGTCTCCCTTATGAGGGGCTTTGGCCAGCGGAAAAATCAAAATCTCTACAAATGGAGATACCCTCTAAGCCCAGTCAGAATAAAGCTTTCTCAGAGAACAATAATATCCACCAAGGAAATATGTTCTAAAACCCAGTCAGAATAGCTCTCCCCCCACACCGACTCTCTCCCGGGCTCACCTCTGAAGCTTCAATGGCCAAATCCATTTCCTCATCACAGACATTGGACCAGAATTCTATCCCTTGCAGGGCTACCTCATCAATGTCACTTTTCATTGCTTCAATTGTGATCTTAAGAGAAAAAGCACGACACCCCAGGCCCCAAATAAGTGCTGGTTCAAGTTAGACCCCACCCCTAACCACAGATATTCAACTTTCAAAAATGTAGATTTATGAAAGCTAGGTCTGAAATGAAAGGCAGAAACAGGAAAAAGATTCTTAAAATATACTTTTTACCAGCACAAACAACACAAATTTTCTTGGCACACTACTGATGGGCTTAAACAACACTCAGACTCAAGGAATTTCCCTGATTTCATAATATTAAGTAAAAAATTACAGAACTGACAAAACAGCAACTAAAAATGATAGGTTGTGCAACTAGCTACAGGCTCCAATACATAAAATAGAAATACTTACTGCAAAAAGAGCAGGACCCATATATGTCTCCATGTACTGATAATACAAGGACATTATCTTCACCAGATTCTGTAAGGCAGCCACTCGTACCTTTTATAAAGAGCAGATTAAAAAAGCTTACTATTTAGTTTAATAATAATGCAATCTGACAAAGGTAAGTAACTACTTCACTCAAATGGGTCAATAATCTAAAGGGTCAGTCGAGGTACATTTGGGTAATGTTATCATTCCCCTAAAATCAATCTCTTCCTTAATTTTTTCACTATTCCTTTCTATTTATTTTCCTTTCCTTCTCTTTTTTACTTTAAAGGTGCCTATGGAACCCATGGCAGGACTAAACTCACTAATGCCACTCAAACTGGATGCTTCTCCCACCTGCTTCAAGGGTCAAGTTTAGGACAGCAATAGCAAAGCTCTTTCAATGGCTACAACGGAAAACAAATCACTTGAATAACTTACGACAATTAAGTAGCAAGGTTGATAAAAAACCATCTCTCCCTTAACCTTTTTCAAGAGGATGGCAAATTTCATTATTTTAACTTTCCAAGTACTGTTCTTCCCTCTTCAATACATTAGAGAAACATTCTTATTAATAATAGTATTAGTCAAGCCTTATTTTGAAAGTCACCTGATTTCCTACACTTCAAACTACTATGCTAGAGTTGGCATTTCCTAGGAAAAATGGCAGACAGATTTTTCATATGACCTCACACTTACCCTTGTATCTGGACACTGTGTGGCTTCACAGACTACCTGCATAATAAAGTGCCTTTCGGACTGCAGGAAGAATAAAAACAAAGAGAATTAGAAGAGTATAAGCCATATTTATGAAGACCACTAGACTATTCCTCTTCAAGGAAACATTCTCACTCCCTCAGGGACCCAACTAATTGTGGACCAATCAAGCAGCTTTTCCTTGACATAGTAATGGCACTGTGAACGCTATAAAGAGTTTGCCCCCAGTGTCTACTACATGACCTGCCCTCTAAGGAGGTCCCTAATCTTTTAATCCCCAAAATGACCTTCAATAACAAGACTTCAGGGAGGAAGCAGAAAGGAAAACATAGGTCACAGGGTTTAAATAAAGATGGTTAGTTAAAAATCTACACTAGGAAAATCTGTTTTCTTGTATTTAAAATTTAGAAGAATTCAAAACACCTGCTTTATTTCAGAGACAAAATTTGTTTTGTGGGAGGTGGCAAATTCACATTAAATGTAGTAAATACAGGAGAACAGAGTAATGAACTTTATTTGCTACTGTCCTAAGTCTTCTGAAATCAAAACAGAAAAACCCTGTTTTCTAAGCAATTGGAATGGAATTGCAGTTTGCTTTGGCTTCAGACCTCCCCACATTGTCCACTATACGACCAAGAAATGGCAAAAAGCCAAGCTAAAGTGTCAACAAACATATATATACAAAAATACTTTCAGATCATGTAATCCAGCAATTCCACTTCTGGATATATATCCAAAAGAACTGAAAACAGGGTCTCAAAAATAAATTTGTGGGCCAGCCCCGGGGCTTAGCGGTTAAGTGCGCGTGCGCTGCTGCTGGTGGCCCAGGTTCGGATCCTGGGCATGCACCGAGGCACTGCTTCTCGGGCCACGCTGAGGCCGTGTCCCACATACAGCAACTAGAAGGATGTGCAGCTATGACATACAACTATCTACTTGGGCTTTGGGGGGAAAAAATAAATAAAATAAAATTATAAAAATAAATAAATAAATAAATTTGTACACCCATGTTCATAGCAGCATTATTCACAATAGCCAGAAAGTGGAAGGAAGCAACCCAAATGTCCACTGACAGATGAATGGATAAACAAAACGTGGTATATACATCCAATGGAACACCATTCAGCCGTAAAAGAGAAATTCTGACACACGCTACAACACGCATGAACCCAAGACATTATGCTAAGTGAAATAAGCCACTCACAAAAAGATAAATCAAATACTGTATAATCAAACTCATAGAAATAGAAAGTAGAATGGTGGCTGCCATGGACGGGGAAAGGGAAAATGGGGAGTTGTTTAACGGAAATCGAGTTTCAGTTTTGTAAGATGAAAAAGTTCTGGAGACTGGTTACAAAACAATGTGAATATACTTAATACTACTGAACTGTACACTTAAAAAAATGGTTAAGATGCTAAATTTTATGTTATTCTATATTTTAACACAACTAAAAAAAATAAGTAAGCAATGGGGGAAATACTTCTGGGCAAAATAAACTTTGTTTATACAATAATTTTCTTTTTTTTAATAATTTTATTTATTTTTTTTTTTCCCCCAAAGCCCCAGTAGATAGTTGTATGTCATATAGCTGCACATCGTTCTAGTCGCTGTATGTGGGACGCGGCCTCAGCATGGCTGGAGAAGCGGTGCGTCGGTGCACGCCCGGGATCCGAACCCGGGCCGCCAGCAGCAGAGCGCATGCACCTAACCGCTAAGCCACGGGGCCGGCCCTATACAATAATTTTCAAAAGCCACCTTCCTAAGGAGGTATGAAACAACCCAATTTCTATAGCTAAAAAAAAATTCCAAAGCATACCCACACTTTAGACTACAAAAGGAAAAACCTAAGCTTAGAAACACATTGGATCATATTCACAAAAACCTGATGAGAAATGGCGAACAGTTACTCCAGGGCCCTGTCGCATATAACACAAACCTTAACTAGAACAGAAATGAATGCTTCTAAACAAAATGATACTTCCTAAATTACAAATGAAAAAAACAAAGCTTTCCTTTAACTCTCAGTCATCACTCTGAACCTACACCTTTTGGTCAAGACACTCACCTCTTTGTCAAAGTTTGCTTTGGTGAACTCCAACGAGTTCAGGAGTGCATTAGTAGCTGCTAGCTTCACATTATTACTAGGCTCTTCTTTCCTCATCCCCTGGATTATGGCAGTCAGAATCTCGTTGGATTTATCCTGTAGCTGCTCTGGGTCCTGAAACAAGCAGAGAAGTGCAGTGAATATAATAATGAGTTCATGACTAATCAGCAGTCCTTTTAACTGTAAAATCCACTCGAGTGAGATCCACTTCTCCCATCTTTTCCCACACATTTCCATTTAGGGACACAACCACTTGCAAAATATCCCAGGGTCCGGTAGTCCAAAATCGAACTGTAACAAGTTAAACTCATCAGCTTCATCTCTGACTTCTTAGCATAATGACTCTGGGCATGAGGTAATGCTGGCTTTTTTTTTCCTTCTGTGCAAATGGAGATGGTAGTCTGGTGTTTTTTTCCAGGCCATCTGTACCAACTGAAGTAAAGCTTCAGAACATCTGAGGACCAAGGATAAACACCTGGGCACAACATCTAGGGAGTCTAAGTCCAGGTCAAGTGCTGTGGACTTCTTTGCTTCATCAAGTCTGTGTATCAAAACAGACACCAAGAGTGGTAACCTCAGCAGCAACAACGGTCCTAGGAGGGCTGCATTTAACATACTCTGTTGTGGTTCCAATGTCTAAACCAACTACAGCAAGTGTTGGCAAACTGTTTCTGTAAAATAGTAAATGAAAAAGTAACACAGCATCCATGGTACACTGAAGATCTTGAGAAAGAGATCAGGTCAAGGATGCTCCAAAACAGAGAATATCCTCTTTTAAAGTCCAGAATCTATGCCTCTCTAAACATATGGATTTCCATTTTAAGTTTGTGACCCTCAAGTGTCTTTACTTTAGGGCATGATTAGCAATGTGAGACTGTTAAGCTAACTACCCAAATAAACAAATAAAGCAGTCTTACTTCCAAAACTTTTGCAGTACTTCCACTGCTTCTGCATTAGCTTGGTTTTCTTCATGATATGATAAAGAATAATCCTAATACCATGCATGTCACAACTACAGGGAATCAGAGGTATATAAGTTAGATACATCAGGCGGCACTTACTATATCTTGGCAAATGTAACCAATAGCTTCCAATGTCGACTCTTTCATGTGCTCTGTGCTGTTGGGGTTTGTGACATTGGCCACCAGCTGAGGAATGAGTTCTGGCCACTGGTTCACTGGGATCTCTGCACAAGCAATACCAGCCACACACTGGGAGGCAGAACTAGGCCGGTAAGTTTCTGTCCCCAGAGTCTGCAAAACCTGTACACACACACACAAAAACAAGATGAAAGCTATCAATTCCCAATATTATTTGAACACATTTGCCTACCACCACACCTCTTATATCAGTCTCTGAATGTTCTATAACAGAGAAAAGTAGAAGGCATATACAGCACAGGTCAGCTGTTGAAAAACAGCCAGCTCCAGTACCAACACCAGCACAGCTGACACTGCCCCACAGCCTAGCAATGAAACTAACCATCCCCTTATGTACAAATGGAATTCTCCAAAGCCAGACACTTCACTTCAATGCAATTAGAAGGGAGTAGCATTAAAAGGCAGAGGAGATGACAAAATTCACCTTCTAGGCTCCTTGGTGGTGGTATAATGGAAGGATGCTCAGTCTTATTTTGTGGACACAAAGTGTGGGATTTTAGAATGATGCTAACTCTGGGGCATTCAAGTGAGTCTGATTCACAGTAGATCACTGTCTAACCTGACTCAAGGAAGAGATCTTCCCACTTACGAAACAGAGAATGAACTTCTTCTTTCTGGTCACCGACAATTTAGCACCCTGGGTGACTTTCATAGAAAGGCTTCAGTCAAGTAACATCACTAAATGCAGATACAAAGTTACTGATGTTACCAACACCTAAGAACTAATCCTTATTTAACTTCCAATCTAAAAGGATTTGTTCTGTTTACCCAAGAATCAAAGAACTGTTCCCTCCACCATCAACAGATACCAAGAACTAGTCAGATATGCCAATTAAAATGAGATCTGCTTATCATTAAACATATTTTGTTTGAGATGGTAATCATACAAGCATTTATGTAAAGGGTAAAGGCACAGGTACAGATAAAGGATGAAGCCACAACTGACCCAGGGTTAATCATTACCATGATCAGCTAACTCAGTCAATGAACTCACTAAGAATCACCAGTCCACTCAAAAGGCAAACAGTTAACTGTTCCTGGCATGAACACAGGACAAAGAGTAGCTGCCAGATATTCAGGCCAGCTCTGCTGACTGGGTCAGGTCACTTAGTATCCTGCTTTGTAGCTAATAATAATGAGCTCCCCATCTTTCTCCTTTATACGACATATCATCATCCCTGCCTGCCCCCAACTCCAACAGCTCTACCCGGTAACAGACAGTTCCAACTGATCCTAAATGAAGGTTTTACTCTCTAGGTCTACCAGAGCTAGAAGCGACTTTAACAAAAACTGTAAGTCAAAGACATGGGAGGTGGGGGTTGGGAATAAGATGAGTTGTCCAAAAACAGGGGCTGAACAGGTATTAACCCAAGTCTGACTAAGAGTTCCAGTCCAGGGCGCCTTGAACTACACTACATCATCCCCTAGTACGTACGTGGAGAGTACTGAATCTCATTCTACCTTTACCTTTTCTCTTTTAAATTGCTTCTAGAAGACCCTTGATTAATATTACTTGAGTGATTCAGAGGGTCCAACTCCTGAGTACCGAAAGTTATTTTTCTTAAAACTTGGGGTGACCCTAATGATAATACCTACTTATTAGAAATAAGAGCAATAATAAACTAGCTCTCAATTGTGTCCAAGACTCAAATTAAAAAAAAATAATAATAACCTTGGGACCGGCCCCGTGGCTTAGCAGTTAAGTGCACGCGCTCTGCTACTGGTGGTCCGGGTTCAGATCCTGGGCACGCACCAACGCACTGCTTGTTCGGCCATGCTGAGGCGGTGTCCCACATATAGCAACTAGAAAGATGTGCAACCATGACATACAACTATCTGCTGGGGCTTTGGGGAAAAAAAAGGGAGGAGGACTGGCAATAGATGTTAGCTTAGAGCCAGTCTTCCTCAGCAAAAACAGGAGGATTGGCATGGATGTTAGCTCAGGGCTGATCTTCCTGGGGCGGGGC